GTGACAGAGTAAGGGACGGAGGGGGTGACTAGTGACAGAAGGAGGGAGGGAGGGAGTAGTGACAGAGGGAGGTGGTGACTAGTGACAGAGTGAGGGAGCTGGTGACTAGTGACAGTCACCACCTCCCTCACTCTGTTACTAGTCACGCCTTCCTTCCCTCACTCTGCCACAAGTCACCCCTTCCCTCACTCTGTCACTAGTCACCCCCTCACTCTAGTGACAGAGTGAGGGAGGGTGTGACTAGTGAGAGAGTTAGGGAGGGAAGGGGTAACTAGTGACAGAGGGAGGGGTGACTAGGGACAGAGGGAGGGAGATGGTGACTAGTGACTAGTGACAGTCATCACCGCTGTCACTAGTCACCACCTCCCTCCCTCTGTCACCAGTCATCCCCTTACTCTGTCACTAGTCACCCCTTCCTTCCCTCACTCTGCCACTAGTCACCCCTTCCCTCACTCTGTCACTAGTCACCCCCTCACTCAAATGACAGAGTGAGGGAGGGTGTGACTAGTGACAGAGAGAGGGAGGGTGTGACTAGTGACAGTCACCCCTCCCTCACTCTGTCACTAGTCACCCCCTCCCTCACTCTGTCACTAGTCACCCCTTCCTTCCCTCACTCTGCCACTAGTCACCCCTTCCCTCACTCTGCCACTAGTCACCCCTTCCCTCACTCTAGTGACAGAGTGAGGGAGGGGGTTACTAGTGACAGAGGGAGGGGTGACTAGGGACAGAGTGAGGGAGGTGGTGACAAGTGACAGTCACCACCTCCCTCACTCTGTCACTAGTCACCACCTCCCTCACTCTGTCACCAGTCATCCCCTCACTCTGTCACTAGTCACGCCTTCCTTCCCTCACTCTGCCACTAGTCACCCCATCACTCTAGTGACAGAGTGAGGGAGGGTGTGACTAGTGACAGTTAGGCAGGGAAGGGGTGACTAGGGACAGAGTGAGGGAGGTGGTGACTAGTGACAGAGTGAGGGAGGGGGTGACTAGTGACAGAGTGAGGGAGGGGGTGACTGTCACTAGTCACCACCTCCCTCCGTCACTGTGTCACCCCCTCCCTCACTCTGTCACCAGTCATCCCCTTACTCTGTCACTAGTCACCCCTCCCTCACTCTGCCACTAGTCACCCCTTCCCTCACTCCCTCACTCTGTCACTAGTCACCCCCTCACTCTAGTGACAGAGAGAGGGAGGGTGTGACTAGTGACAGTGAGTAAGGGTGTGACTAGTGACAGTGAGTAAGGGTGTGACTAGTGACAGAGAGAGGGAGGGTGTGACTAGTGAGAGTGAGGGAGGTGGTGATTAGTGACAGAGGGAGGAATGGGGTGACTATCACTGTGCCACCCCCTTCCTCACTCTGTCACTAGTCACCCACTCCCTCCCTCACTCGGTCACTAGTCACCCCCTCTCTCACTCTGTCACCAGTCATTCCCTCACTCTGTCACCAGTCATCCCTTCCTTCCCTCACTCTGCCACTAGTCATCCCTTCCCTCACTCTGTCACCAGTCATCCCCTCACTCTATCACCAGTCACCCCTTCCTTCCTTCACAGTGACAGAGTTAGGGAGTGACTAGTGACAGAGAGAGGGATGGGGTGACTAGTGACAGAGTGTGGAAGAGGGTGACTAGGGACAGAGGGGGTGATTAATGACAGAGTGAGGGAGGGGGTGACTAGTGACAGTGAGGGAGCGGGTGACAGTGACAGAGTTAGGGAGGGAGTGACTAGTGACAGTCACTCCCTCCCTCTGTCACTAGTCACTCCCTCCCTCTGTCACTAGTCACTCCCTCCCTCTGTCACTAGTCACTCCCTCCCTCTGTCACCAGTCATCCCCTCACTCTGTCACCAGTCACCCCTTCCCTCCCTCACTCTGCCACTAGTCACCCATTCCCTAACTCTGTCACTAGTCACCCCCTCTCCCTCCCTATGTCACTAGTCACCCCCACTTACTGTGTCTCCCCCTCACTCTGCCACCACTCAACCCCTTCCTCCCTCACTCTGCCACCAGGTACCCCCTCACTCTGCCACCTGTCACAACCTCCCACACTCTTCCACCTGTCACCTTCTCCCTCACACACTGTCACCTGTCACATATGCATTCACACAGACACTATATACAAAAAAGCACATGTAGTCATCCCGACATGCACAAGTGCATTCACACACTCAAATACAAACATGCATTGATACACAGGTCTTCACAATATACACATCCAAAGGAATGCTGTATTATGAGTTATATTTAACATTTATTTAATGCACATATATTTGGCCTTCAAAGGGCCTGGGATCTAATTTTGCCCGGGGGCCCCAAAGGCTCTCAGTCCGCCCCTGGTCACCCCCTTTAAGGCGTTCAGAGACTCTAGCCAGTCCTCGTCTGAAAAGAACTTGTCACAAGTTGCTTCCCACCTTTCTGGGAAAGAGAATCGTTTTTGGGGCAGACAGTTTTTAAGCAGGCTATAACATGCAGTAAGCACTGTAGGTTTTAGGGGGCGCTTACAGCATCTATTTATAAATATATGTAGTTGAGGTGGTATTTCCCTGTGAGGCTGTTGAACCCTAACCAGATGTGAGAGGAGTAGGCCCTTTATCTGTATATAAATAAATATGTAACTAGAAGGCAAGTTAAATAGGGTCACTAGGTTTGGAAATGCAATGACAATGTTGCCTACTAGTAGTTTGGAGATTTGAGAGATTCCAACCACTAGCCATTTTTGGAGTTGTAACCAGGGGGTTATGGACTGTAGAGACTGCAGAGGAGCATCTGGGAGAAATAATTTGCCTAGGTTGTGGTTTTGGAGCAGTGTGTCCCATGTGCGTAACATAAGTGTGGTAGTGGGAAATAGGGCAGGCATCGCTGGCATAAAATGATTGGGTGTCCAGAGATGATCAATTAGGGAGATTCCTGCTGTGTGTTGTTTTTCCATATCTACCCATCCCAATGTGCCATTTGGTGCATGAATGGTACCTACTGCCTGCAAGATGGAGGCCTTGTAATATGAGGAAATGTTTGGCATGCCCGTGCCTCCTTTTTGGGTTGGTAGTTGAAGCAAAGTCAATTGGAGTCTGGCTTTTTTTGTCGGCCCAGAGAAACCATGTGAGCACATACAGCAGCATTTTGCAGTAGGAAGGGGGTACAGTAATGGGGAGCAGTCTAAATATATACAATATTTGTGGCAGTATTATCATCTTTATTGTATTGATTTTTCCTGCCCACGATAAGGGTACTGTGTTCCATTATTTAGGCTCGGCTTTACACTTTGAGAGGAGTGGGCTATGGTTGTGTTTGAAAAAAGTTGACGTGGTCTTAGTAAGACTTATTCCTAGGCAAGTGATGTAGGATGCACACCATTCCAGTTGGAACGTGGATTTTAAGTGTGTTTGTTCCATTATGGTTAGGATAATAGGCATCGCCTGGGATTTTGAGCGGTTTAACCTATAAAATAAGACTGTTCTATAAAGAGCCAGGAGGCTGGCTGGCAGAGATTGGCTTGTATTGCTTAAAGTGAGAATTATGTCATCGGCAAATAGTGAGAGCTTGTGTTCTGTGTCGCCTATGGTAATTCCACTGATGTCTGGGCTGTCTCTAATAGCCTGTGCCAGGAGCTCCAGAAATAGGATAAACAAGAGGGGAAACAAGGGGCATCCCTGATGGGTGCCGTTTGTGATAGAAAATGGCTGCGACAAAAAACCCGCTGACAGGACCTGAGCTGTCGGGTGGTTGTATAGCGCCATTATCCCCTTTATGACATCCGGAGGGAACCCAAATTTTTTCCAAGACTCTTGACATATATTTCCAATGGAGCCTGTCGAAGGCCTTCTCCGCGTCTAGCGTGTCAAGAAGGCCTCCAGTCTTAGCGTCATTCAAGTGGTCTATAAGGTTAATCAGTTTCCTGGTGTTGTCTGAGCCTTGGCGGCCTCTCACAAACCCTGATTGGTCATTAGTTATCAGTTTAGGCAGTAGAGTGGAAAGTCTGTTAGCTATTAATTTGGCATACAGTTTGGTGTCGCTCTTTAGAAGGGATATGGGTCAGAAATTGGCACACTGTGTGGATGGTTTGCTATGTTTTGGTAGGGTAGAAATGTGTGCTTTTAAATTTTTTGTTGGTAGCTGTCCTGTCGAAAAAATTTAATTAAACACTGTGACGATATGGCGGGAGAGCACAGCCAAGTATGATTGATAGTATAAGTTGGTCAGCCTGTCGGGTCCTGGGGATTTGATAGACGGGAGTTTAGTGGTGTCTTGCGCGATCTCCTCAATAGTAAAAGGGGCGAGCAAGCCAGCTGAGTCTTCTGTGGACTATCTAGGGAGGTTTATCTTGTCTAAAAAGAAGTCTATACTATGTGGGGTGGGGTCAGGAGTGTGGGGTTCTAAGTCGAGGTTATATAGAAAGCCGTAGTATGAGGCAAATTCATCTGTGATTGCTTGAGGTTCTAGAATTTTAGCCTTGTCCAGGGGGGCTAGGAAGGCTATTCTTGAGTTAACCAGTCTCTCCTTTAATTTAGAGGCTAACAGTGCTCCAGAATTGTTGTCCTGTGCAAAGTATTGTACTTGAATCTTTTCAGTAGGTATGTAGTTTTAGAGATTTCATATTGTCGCAATTGGGACCTAGGGAGAGAAGTTTGGTTAGCTTGTCCTGGGTAGGTTGTAGCTTATTGTCATGAGTAAGGCATGTTAACTCTGTGAGGATGTTTAAATATATCTCCATCCTTTTTTGAGTAGCTAGCATGTTTGATCATGACTGTGCGAATGAAGGCCTTGTGAGCCAACCTAACTTTCTAAATTGGTCGGATTTAGAGAGCCCCTAGAAGCTTAAATCCTAAATACAATGCAGAGGCAGATCATTAGAGGCAGATGAGAAGTCTCAGAGTTCCGACATCATGTCGGGTCTTCTATTGCCTTGTGACCTCCGGTGTATGTTACTAATATCGGCCTGAATATTTGTGCCGATCTGGCTTTGGTTTCCTAGTCTTCCGCCCCATAGGTATTGTAGCATGTCTAAGCAACAAAGATGCCCCCAGTAAAGCCTCAATTTGTGCTTTTTCAAGCTGTTTAGACAAAGCACTGCAGGCATGCGACTGCTCAGGCGTGAGTGAGCTCCTCCCCAGGGCAATGCATTTTTAAAGTATAACATCTAAATGCATTTTTCCAAGAATACCCTGAGAGTATATGCTTTTAATTCCTAAACCCCAAATGCATATATATATATATATATATATATATATATATATATATATACTATAATATGCATTTATATATAAGCATATTGTCTTGGTGAAAAACAACTGTTTTGTTTTGGGGGTTTTTAAATGCAAAAAATGGCAATAAACATTTTATATTTTTTAAATGTTTTTAATATAATTATTTATATAGTGTCAACAAATTTTGCAGCACTGTGTACAAGCTATTTCTATAAGAACATTTACACAAGATGCCTTTGTTCATCTCTACGGATAGATTGAAGCAGAGTAGACAGAAACATAGTTGTTATAGTGTCAGCTTCACCAGTAACAATGAGTTTGTAGGAAATCCGACTTCTAGCTGCCTGCATTATTTATTTATCTAGTTTTCTGGACTTTTTTTGGCAAGTAAATAGCCCAGAATGTGAGGGATGCAGGCAGAGTGAGTGCGGTAGTGTGCCAGTGATGTAACTGGTGCTATTGATGATGCGCACCTGTGCACATGCGCACCACAATAATAGTCAGTGCATCTAATACACTTGAATATGCCTTGCTTTGTTATAATCTGTTTATTAACAAAACCACATTGTGCTTCATGTAGTTTTATCTCTTGTCTCAGAAGTGAGAAATCAGAGAGAAAAAAAACTGGGAGAATAATGGCTCAAATTTGTGATTGTTCCATTGAATTTGGAACTTTTTGCAAATGTTTTATAGAATGTTTTGACCTATTTTATGATTTATTTTAGGAATAATTCCATTGTTTTGCCTACATATTTTTGTCCAGCAATAATACTACTGCTGAATACATAGATTAAATGTTTCAGACAATATTAATCTCTTAAGGACCGGCCTGTTTTTGCGATGTTGTACGTTAAGGACCAGAGCAGTTTTGACACTTTTGTGGTGTTTGTGTTTAGCTGTAATTTTCCGCTCTCTCTTTTACGGTTCCCATACAAGTTATATATTGTTTTTTTTCAGGACATGAAGGGCTTTTTTTACATACCATTATTTGTATCATGTCATGTATTTTATTTAAAAAAAATAATAAAATATGGTGAAAAATTTAAAAAAAAACATGTTTTTAGACTTTTACTTGAAAAATCTTTTACTTATCTACAAAAGCTAATGAAAAAAACTGCTAAATAGATTCAAAATTTTGTCCCGAGTTTAAAACCACCCAGTGTTTACATGCTTTATTGCTTTTTATTGCAAGTTATATGGCCTATAAATACAAGTAGGAAATTGCTGTTTCTATATATATATATTTTAAATTTATCAATAGTGACATTGTAACACCGTTATCTGTCATAACTCCCTGAATCACACCTCACATGTACATATTTTTTTAAAGTAGACAACCCAGGGTATTCAAAATGGGGTATGTCCAGTCTTTTTTTAGTAGCCACCTAGTCACAAACACTGGCCAAAGTTAGCATTTATATTTGTTTGTGTGTTAAAAATGCAAAAAATGCTAACTTTGGCCAGTGTTTGTGACTAAGTGGCTACTAAAAAAGGCTGAACATACCCCATTTGCAATACCATGGGTTGTCTTCTTTGCAAATGGTATGCCATCATGGGGCTAATTCTCATTCCTGGGCTACCATACGCTCTCAAAGGCAACCTAACCAATCTGACAAATTTCAATAAAAAAAAAAAAAGTTAAATCAAGCCTTATATTTGACCCTGTAAC